GTCTTAAGTTATCATGGTTAATTTATTTTTCAAATTGAGGGGGAACAGTTAAAATTCCTTGCTAGGACATAGGCAAAAGGAATGGCCTGCTCTGTCATGCAAAAATGCTGTCGGGCATCTCGGATCAATCATAGAACAGCTTTGTCCCTTCGATATTTGTTGAAATTTTAGAAAACCTGTATAAATTGCTGATGCGCATCTTAAAGGTTGCTCTGCCGTTAGCTAATTGAGTTATGCCCTCACAACACTGAAGATGGCCCCGTGATCTTACTAGAGAATGATGCCTCTAGCTGGGCTGATGTAGGGCGTGCGGAAGGTGCACACAAGCCACTTTTCCTGCTGCTGTTTGCAATGTATGAGCCTTTTCTTTTCCACCCTGAAGAGTTTCTTCTACTTTTAATGTGGTTTATTTGGGCTCGGCAATAGTTGCTGTTATGAAAATACTCATTTGTTAGGAAAAGAAGGTAGTGACATCATTTTGAAAGGACCATGAGCTATTAAAATCAAAGGAAAAGCCATAAGAAGTAATTTCATTTCCATGTCAGGGATAGCTCTTGATTATGTTAACATTGTTTTAAGATAAGATGACTTTTTTCTCCCTTGCTTTTAGGGTTACAATCAGAGAGATTTTATATTTTTATCATTATAGATCGTAGTTACAACGTAGTGAATGATGCATGCTGACCCAGTGTGTAGTGAAATCCAGAAGATTGAGTTACTAAGAAAAGCAATAATTTTCTAAAGCTGTGATATGGGTAATACGGAGTTGCCACTCAAATTCTAATAAAGCTCTTAATTCATATTGTGAATTATAGAACACTACTTTTTATAAAGCCTTATTTTTTTAGGGAAACTTAGGAGTGACATAGAACTGATAAATGAGTAGAATTTTGCTGGATTTTTGTATATAATCTCTAGAGCTCTGGAAGCTGAGGATTCATTATGCTGTGGTCAACTTCAAATACTTTCTGATTCCAAATATCTGAATTAACGAGCCACGCTGGGCAGTATCAATGGATTTTCTAAAAATAATGTAAATGTCTTCTGTTTAATGTTATTTGAGTGCAATAAAATGCAGAATTCTTCTCTATATTGTCCTTATTTTGAATTATTATTTTGTTATATAACAAAATCAGTTCATTTTATACTTAACTAGTATATTAGAATATTACAGTATCCTTGATGACTGAAATCACGAAGGTGTACCTTCGACCCTTTCTTAACCTATTTCTAATAGGTGATGTTTAACATCTACTCTGATGCTTACATTGCCGGGAGCCAGATTAAAATGAGATAGCCCCTGCATCCATCCTTTGTAGGTTTTTGTTTAGCACCTAGCAGTTTTGGTAATTCCCTAGTGAGGCAAGCCCCACTCCCCTATAGCCTCCTCCTCCCCCATGACCATTGTACCATGGGGACATGAACTTCATCGTAGTTGAGAAGACGAAAGAGTCTGAGCAGGTGGAAGGGCAGGCGAGGGTACAGCAGGTTCTCTTTCCATCTTCATTCTTGGGGCAGAAAAGGAGAACCAGACAAGTAGGGAAGAAGCCTCCGGGTTCCAGAAAGTGTTGTTTTCTCCTCCGGCACGCCAGAAGACTTCAGACTCATTCACTCAGGGTAAACAGACCCACTTTTTTTTTTTTTATGTTATGTTAATCACCATACATTACATCATTAGTTGAAATCTTGCCATTTGCAACGACGTGGATGGAACTGGAGGGTATTATGCTGAGCGAAATCGGAGGGGGAGACGAACCATAAACAGACCCACTTTTATTGACTGCATTGCCTCTGCTGAGCACTTTGCGCACGTGGGGCACTTGCATTTTCCCAGCAGGTGGGGCTTATCCCTGCTTGCTGATAAGGAAACTGAGGGGCAGAGAGGTGGAGACACCTGCCAGCCATGGTCCTTCATGGTGAGCATGTGGGCAACAGGTGGCAGGTGGAAACAGTTGGAGGGAGGCTAGAATGTAGGCAGGAGAGCAGGTCGGAGACTAACAAGTAATACTCCAGGTGACGGTAGACGGGCCAACCTCGGGAAGTACTGGCAGAGAGACAGAGAAGGGGGACGGGAACGTTGTGGCTGGCTGAGTGGGCCAGCGCCGGGGAAACAGAGCCCTGGAGAGTCACAGATGCCAGGGAGATGAGGAACTGGTGAGGGCAACTGGGCCCAGATGGAAATTAGCTTTGGACGTGTGTGAGGTCCAAGAAGAACCGGTCAGTAAGCAGAGAAGCACAGTTGCTGGAACAGCATAGAGTTCAGGATATTTGAGTTCACAGAAGTGATTTTCTTTAATGGTGTATGATAATTTTTGGTGTATGATTAAGATTCCGTTCTTTTTAGTAAGGTTTTCCTTATCCTGAGGGGGGGGGAAAGTAAGTACAGTTAGGGATTGCATCACACCTTTCTTCTTGAATACGAGTGCTTAAACCCTAACTATAAGTTACAAGTGAACTTGGATGTGGGTAATTTTCTGAATTGGGCTGAGCAGATAGCTCCCTTTAACTTGGAGACTGTCATTGGAACATACAGAGTGTGATTGAAGTATTATTACAGAGGATACTTTCTAAATCAGTCTTACCTGTTCTGTGACCTTTGGCAAGATTCCTGAGCCTCTCTAAGCCTTAGTTTCCTTATCCATAAAATTAAAACTACCTCCCAGGGTTGATGGGGTTGATGCGATCGTCTGCAGTAAGTGCTTAGAACAATGCCTGGCACCCAGTAAGCATCCAGTGAGTCCTTCTCCTCTGGGGCATGGTGAGGTCCCCATGGGGTCTCCCAGGGAAGCGTGTGTACACAGAGAATAAAGTAAAGCAGAGTAACACTTTTACTGTTAGCTCTGCAGAATACTAGTGAGGGAAGCTGGATCTCTGAAAACGCTTTTACCCACTGAAAATCGGAGGGGCCAAAATGCCTGCTCTGCTCATTTCCCCATATCCAAACACGAGTCACAGATGCCCACATGTTGGTGTGAGGTGAGGGGCAGAAGGGGACGTGAGTGAGAGAGCTCTTGCCCAGAGCTGGGGAAGTTTGGGCTGGACCTTCTTCGGTCAGACTCATTGCCCTCGTAAATACTGCTGCTGCGAAGGAAGAAAGATGGTGGCCCTTGTTCCCTGAAGGGTGCCTGGCCAGAGCCCTCCTACCCATTTAAAATGGGACCCATTCAAACCACTCCTCCTTCCTTATTTCTCCCCTGGGGGCGGGAAGATGTGTGGGGAGCCCTAAACTCCTCTTCATGTTCTCTCTAGTCAGGTTAGCAACTTGCATTTCGTGCTTGCGTTTTCAGATTACCCCAGCCCCATGCCAGGCGACGGATTTCTGGAGAACGTGGAGGGGCACAGCCTTCCTGCAGGCACTGCTGGTAGCACTGGAAGGACTCCCTAGGGACCAGGATTGTGTGTTGATGTTTTTCCTCAATCCTGTGTCCTCCGAGAGTGCATCCTATGAAATGATGCGCTGCCTAACTTTTTGCTAAAGGAGGTTATGGTTAATACGATCAGAAATTCTAGGACATTCGACAGAGATCTAGAATGGCTTTTTGTTGTTGTTTTTATTTTTAAATATCCCGTGTACGTCCTGCAGCACTAGCAGGAAGAGTGTGGCAGTCAACTTGATAAAACCCGCTCTTTGCACGAGGCAAAGCCTGCATGTCCCTATCTCCCGTTTCTCTTTCAGGGAAGGTAGGGAAGGGTGCTGTGGGAAGATTATATGCTTTGGAATGATGTAAACAGCTGACCTTGATACGTCAGGCACTCGACTTTCCCAGCCTCAGCTTCCTCCTTTGCACAGAGGGAGACAGACCTCCCCCTAGGGAGGCAGGAGGCAGTAGGGGGGCGAGAAGTGCTTAGACTGAGCCTGCACTGTGCAGCTTTCACAGGTCGTTCCCTTCCTCTCCATTGGTGTCTTGAAATGCCTGACCTATAAAAAGCCCTCCCTTATATCGGAAGCCTGCCTCTGATTTACTTGTCACTTCCAAAAAGTGCAATGTTTGATAGGAATGTATGGAGGAAGCCGGCGAGCAAAAAAATCGAGTGTTCAGTGGTTGTACCCCTGATCTCACCCCCACGGCCCGGTCTACTCTGGGGGAAGAACTGAGTCTGATTTTGTATCAGTCTCCCAAACTCTGCCCTATCCTGACTCCCACACATATGCCTATACACGTGTTCCTAGAAATACCCAAAGCTGGATAAGTACCTACGGGAACTATAATCAACTGGTCTACCATGAAATTTAGCTAGACCCCAACTTCTATGAAACAATGGGCTAGATCTGAGATAGTGCAGAAATGAGGTTATAAGCACAGGGTCAGGTCATGTGCCATAGATTTCCACGTAGGGTGGATGTTGTTTGGTCCAGGTTCTGGGTGGGTTTTACTGCACACAGTCCCATTCATGGAGGAGACCCTACGACTGTGGTTAACTTAGTGAGAGGCTGACACAGGTGGGCTGTCTGGCCCATCTCGGCTCCTCAGCACCTGGGCTCAGTGCAGGCACGCTTAGTGTTCCAGCTGTGTATGTGTGAAGTCCTTGGGGAAGTGAGACTGGTGTCACCCCAGTGAGGGAGACATGCGGCATTTCTTTAAAGCACATGGTGGCTGTTATAGTCTTCTGGTTTTAGGAGACAGTATCAATATTGAACAAGCTTTGATGAGGGCTTCACTCCAGTTTGCTTTTATACCCACAGAGGCACTTTTGGAGGAGATGACCCACAGCCCTACTTTTCTATTAATGAGGAATACTTAGCTTGGTGCCTCATACCTGGTTACTTTTATAAGTATAAGCCTGGTGATTTTTAAAAGCAATTCAAATGAGTCTAATCTTAATATTTTGTAACAAATTTCATGTGTAAAGAATTCAGGTTTAGGAAAATTGGAATTCTATGCCCAGAAATATTTTTCTTAAATTATATTTATTTGAATTCATTTAAATATGATCCTATATTTTGAGATAACGAATGGGGACTTTCACAATACTTACTTTGTTTTGTCTTTACTTTTCAGAAACAAATAGAAAAACAGATGATCCAGAAATAAAAGAAAAAGGTGAGATCATCAAATAATGCCTTTCAAATATACATAGGAAGAAAATCATCACACTATTCATGAATAACATGCTGATTTTATTTTGTATCACCAGTTAAAAGAAATTGCCTCTGGGTTTATTATTTCAGTGGTTTTATCAACAAACATTTATCAATATTTACATAAACATTAAGAGCAAAGGCTCTAAAGAGATAGCCTGGCTTCTAATCCCGGTTTTGCTGTTCACTATATGTATGTTTGAGAATTCCTTGCCCTCTGTGCCTCAGTTTCCTCTCTGTGATATGGGAATAAAATAGTACCAAGTTCAGGGACCAGAAGACTCCTGTTTCTACGATAGTAATTAAATGAAAATATGTGTAAGGTACTTAAAGCAGGGAAAGCGCAGTATAGCGCAGGGAAAGCACTTAGGAAATGTTAAATATTATTGTTTATGTTAACATCCATGCCAGGAATAGAGATCCAGAAATTGCTAGAACATGTTCTCTTTTTATAAGGAACTCTGAGTTGTTGGAAGGACATGCAAACAAGGTTACATCCATAAAGAAAGAATCATCTCTGCCTTCCCACAGTTGATTACAATGGGATTCTAATAAATTAAATAACCCAGTAGAATTTTAAGTCAGCTCTTACGAAGATTCCTTAGCTTACTTGGAGTGAGGAACTGAGTTAAACAATTATATAGATGATCATGGAATAGTGCTTATGCTTTTTTTTTTTTTCATATTCTACTTCCCTTTATTCTTTCCAATTGTGGACATTTTTATTTTTCAGTATTTAATTCAAGCTTAGACAATAAGAATCTCTAAATAGTAAGGCTACTAATTTTATCCCTCACAAATATTTTTTTATATCATTTAATTAATTAATTTATTTTTTCATCATGATAAGTGTGCTCTTTAATCCCTAACCTCCCCCACCTGCCTCCCCTCTGGTAACCATCAGTTTATTCTCTATAGTTGACAATCTGTTTCTTGGCTTGTGTGTGTCTCTCTCCCTATATTTTTTTTTCTTGCTCATTTGTTTCTTAAATTCTACACATGAGTGAGATCATATGGTATTTGTTTTTCTCTGACTGACTTACTGTACTTAGCATCCATTATACTATCTAGCTCTATCCACGTTGTTGCAAATGGCAGGATTACATTCTTTTATTTTTATGGCTGAATAATATTGCATTGTATATATACCACATCTTCTTTATCCATTCATCTGTTGATGGACGCTTGGGCTACTTTGATAGTTTGGCTATCGTACAGAATGCTGCTATAAACATAGGGGTGCATGTATCCCTTTGAATTAGTGTTTTTGTATTTTTTGGGTGAATACGCAGTAGTGCGATTACTGGATCATAGGGTAGTTCTGTTTGCTTTTAATATTTGAATGATAAAATCTTTAATGGTTGAACATTACAATTTTAGAAATGCCTTTAATTTTTAGTAATGATAATTTTCAGCATCTACATTTGAGAAGAGATTATAGTACATAACATGTTATAATATACAGAATGTACATGGTCTTAGTGTATAATTATTTGGTGAGCATACAGAGTTGCTGGCCTCTGGCTGTAATTTTGTAGCCTGTAGGCTGGGAACTAGGCATTTAGTCATGCATTTTTTTTTCCTGATTCGTTGTATTTAATTTTTTATGAAAGCAATACCAAGATATAGTTTTAAAAGTATGACTTTTAATGAAACACAGCAGCCTTCTATCTCCCTACTCCCTGTCTATGAGGCCCATCCCTGACTTTCTTTTAGCTATTTCTTTTAGTACTTACCTACACATTTCTAAATAACTAGCTACTTGTGCAACTTTCTCGAAACTGTTGACTTTTCTACATAGATGACTGGGATTTAGCTCAGTCATGACCCGAGTTCTCCATGCTGCCCCACCTTCCTGATCTGCCATGACACCACGACATACTCTGATCGTGATAAGTAAGTAGCCCCCTTCTCCCTAGTTTTGTTTTCTACGATTTCAGTGACCCGCAGTCAGATGTGGTCAGCAAGCAGATGATCCTCCTTCTGACCTATTGTCAGAAGGTCACTAGTAGCCTAATGCTACGCTCCAATGCCTGTGGTCCTTTCCCTCACTTGATCTCATCACGTAGGCGTTTTCTTATCTCACATCATCTTAAGAAGGGTGAGTACAAGATATTTTGAGAGAGAGAGAGAGAGACCACATTCCTATAACTTGTATTACAGTGTATCATTACACTTGTTCTATTTTATTATTAATTATAATAATCTCTTACGGTGCCTAATTTATAAATTTAACTTTATCATAGGTGTGCACGTATAGGAAAAAACATAGTATATATGGGGGTTGGTACTCTCTGTGGTTTCTGGCATCCACTGGGAGTCTTGGAATGGGTCCCCTGGAGATAAGGAGGGACAGCTGTGCTAAGGAGAAAAAACAAAGCAAGCAGGAGGGTATCATCAGCTTTTGCTCGAGTTGATCGCTTCTCGGCCTTTTGGCTAAGATCAAGTGTAGAATTGATCACTTCCTCGATTCTGGAATGCTTCCTTCGCTTGGCTTGCTGGTTACCACATCCTCTTGGTTTTTCTCCTACTCTCTGCTGTGTGTGCTTTTCTCAGTCTCTTTGGATGGCTGTTCCTCGTCTCCCTGATCCTCTGTCGCTTAAGTGCCCCAGGACTCAGTCCTCAGAGCATTGCTCTATCTGCACACACTCCCTCGGTGATCTGACCTAATCTCCTCGCTTTAAATATCGATCTGCCAAGGATGACCACACTCGCCTGTAGCCCGGGTTACCGTTACCCAGTGTCTGCCGGAGAACCTCGTTTGGACATCTGATAATCACTTCAAACTTAACTGGTGTAAACTGAACTCCTGACCTTCCCCCTCGAAACCCGCTCCTCCTACGAAGCGTCTCTTTCATGCCTCCCTATATTTCCCTCAGCAAGTCCTGTCAGTCCTCTCCCCACAACATATCCAGAATTCCACCGCCTCCTGCCCCCAACACCCACCACCACCTGGCTCCCAGCTACCACCGTCTCTTGCCGGCGTTATTCCGGTTGCCTCCTAACTGGTCTTCCCGCTTCCACCTTTGTCTCTATAATCTTTCTCAATACAGTAGCCACGGTGACCCCTTCAAAACCTAAGCTGTGTCATGTTGCCCAGTGCTTCCAGCATCTTCGTATATCCCTCAGAATAAAACAAAGTCCTTTGCTGTGGTTTACCAGCCCTCATAAAATCCATTCTACCTTCTCTGTCTTCTCTTGGTTTCCTCCCCAACATCACATCCTATAATACTCTCTCTCCTTTGCTCACTGTGCTCTGGCGACTTGGGCTTCCCCACCAAGCACGCACGGGACCCAGGACCTTTGCCGTGACTGTTCCTTCCAGGCTGACTCTTTACCCCAGCACCCACATGGCTTGCCACAGTCTTTGCTCAAATGTAGCCTTCTTAGTGAACCTCCCTAACCTTATTTCAGGTTAAAAACTCCTTACTTTCCATACCCTGTTTCCTTGCTTTGTTTTCTCTATAACACCATGTGATTATATTTGATAGTTTAATTCTTTAGTATTTATTGTCTGAACCTCCCACTGGAATCAAATTTCCATGAAGACACATTTTTGTGTGTTCTGCTCACTGCTGCATTTCTTGTGCTTGGCACATAGTAGGCACTTAGTGACTATTGTTTGAATGAATTTCTATTATGTTTTAATTTCGGAGGATTAATATGAACAGACATTACAGGCTCTATAAAACCCAAATTGTAGGAGTAAGAACCAGACCCAGATAGAACTCTTAGGATGGAAATCCATGGGAAACCCAAAACTTGAGTCAGTGACACTGGAGTAAGAAGAAGACAGTCGTTCTCATCCCTAAAGAAACCAGAGTGATTACATGGTCCCCTCTGTGACCTCACGTGTCGGAGCTCAGTGGATGCATGGATTGTCACACCCATGCTGCTTGGAGCACAGGACTGACAAGTGTTCCAAGTGTTAAATACTTTCACTTTCAGTTTCTTCATCCAGAAATAAGGATCATGATTCTTAATGCCTCACAGGGTATACTTCAAAACAGGAAGATAAAATGAAACTATCTCTAAATCATAAATGCAGTCTGCTACTACTATTACTATCCAAATATCTGGACTCCAGATTGCCTTGATTAGCAATGAAGTTGGTTGATTTGGGGGTGAATCATAGGTGTGCCAGTTTTAAGATTTTGTTAAAACCGTGCTTTTAAAAGATCCATATGTACTATCATAATCAGTTCTAAAAGCAAAGGTATTTTTAGCCCCCAAAGTACAACACATATAATTAAAGAATAAAGGGTGGGTGTTTTTTTTTTTTTTAGATTGTATAAATTTAGCTGTACAAAAAACTCACTAAAATGATTCGCATCATTCAGTTGGCCTTGGAGCAGTGGACATGTCTTGTCGTGGCTCCAAAGCAGAGACCACGGAGGTAGTATTAAGGCTGCTTTTGGGACCATGTTAGTGCACGTCTCACTATATCTGTTGCTATATTTGTTTCTCCCCACTGGATGTCACCTTTTCCCACATATTCCATCTTCCCACAACCACAGACTGCATGAACCAAAAAGTAATGCAGTGCACAAAAAGCTTATTAGATGTCAAACTCAGTTACTTTTATTCATCCCTTTATTGAGTACATACTGTGCACCTACTATGTGCCGGGCCCTATTTTAGGCACTGGGGCTAACATAGTCAATAAAAACTAAGTCCCAGTTCTCCTGGTACTTGTAATTTAGTGTACGTGTGTTTGGGCCGGGGGGAGGTTAGATATGTAATTGTTAAAAATTAGAATATAATAGTGGTAAGTATGAAAAGGAATATAAAACAGGAAAAGACTACAGAGAATGACAGTGGGCAGGGGTGTTGCTCTGTGGAGAGGCCTCTGGGACACTGACATTTGAAGATGCAAGGGAATGAGCTGAGTGAGCATCCAGGAGAAGGGAGTCCAAGGATGAAAGAGCGCATCCATAGTCCCCGGAGGAGTGTGCCTCACAT